GACAAAATCTCATTAGCACAATCAGAATTAAAAACATTCTGGAATACTACAACATTTCAAAGCATAGTATTTGAGCCACCACACTTGTACAACAGGCACAGAATGCATTATCATTCTAAAAAGAAATTTAATTAAAGATATTATTTTTCTTGGTTAACAGCTCAAGATGACTGAGATCTTCACCTTGCTCAAGATGACCTTGGCTTTGGGCAGACATAACTTTGCTATGGACCTCCAGCAGCAACTCAGCTAAGCTCTCTTCTCAGCTCTTCATTTGCACAAGGAGGATAAAACCAGCATCTCCCCCCCCAATAAAAGCTATTTTAGGACAAACTTTTTTTAAAAAAACATACAGTATAACTGTCCCTCTTTGGGACTCAAAGGAGTATGATAAGAATCACTTTTTTCACACTTGAAAAATGAGTAAAAGAACAAATGATAAAGTTCACCACATTTGTTACTCCTTTAAGAATAAAATTCTAAAGATCTCATAAATTGAACAAAAGAAAGCAATTTACAACTTCCACTGGAAAGAAACTGCTTGAATAAAATGGTTTTATACTACAGCTCACATTCTGGCTACTCTCTGAAGTATCAAACCTTGCAATTCCAGAAGAGGTCACTCGGACCACAGAACAAGGTTCTTCAATGATCTATGTGGCAGGAAGCAGACAATAGTAATAAACTGAAATGGGGAGCTGCTGACTGTACACAAGGGAAAAAAAAATAACTGCAAGAATAATAAAATGATGGAACAACTATTCACATGAGGTTGTTGCATCTCAAGACTCAAGTGGACAAAACCCTAAGTGAGTTGGTCTGAACCCAATGCTGACACTGTGCTCTGCACAAAGTTGGACTAGATGATCTTCCAAGATGATTTATAACTGGAATTATTTTCATTTACCTGGCTAAACAAATGTACACAGGTTTTTTCTCCTTTTATTTCTGAATGAAATTAAGGATAAAATAGCATAGCAAAAACCTCTTACGAGGCAGGATATCATTTAAACACATGATAAAGATACATAGCATATTTGTCAGGAGGTGATTAACAAGTAGAATTTATAAAAAGTTATCAAAGACTAGTCTTTTCCTCAGCAAACAATAAAAAAAGAAATATTTTTGCCATAAATCAACAGACCTTCCTACAAATGCTTCTGACAGTGCCTTGCTAGGAAAAGTTATGGTATAATGGACATGAAATTTTGCTGTATGAAAAAAAAATTTGCTACATATCCTACAAAACACCATAAAGTGCAAACAAGCTTCTCAGGTGTACAAAATGGACTTCTGACAATTTTGGGTATTTTACTAATCCTTATGCCAGCAACTATTAATCAAGGGGAACCTGACTTATCTAATTAATAATGAACTGCTTCAAGAAACCAAGCCATTTTAAATGGTGACTTTTAATAATAAAGATTTAAAGTGTAAAATAGTTTGAAAAAGAAAACACCACTTTTTTCTTAATTTGTCATACAAGTGCAACACAGTTAATTCTTGTGGAGTTAAAGATACTGTTACAGTGGGCTTAGTGTACTTACATTTTCCATAAGAGGTGAGGAACAGCTGCTAAGTTAAGGTCCAAAAAAAAAATTTATTTTTAACATTTGGCAAAGGTATATAGTTCTCTGTACAGACATCTCAAAATGTATGTTGGAAATAAACATGAAATGTCAATATTTAGCTTTATTCCAAATCTTTAATGAAATTACTGCTTCGGTGGAATATTCTAAATATGTATTACAATTTCCACTGCACAGACTGAAAAAAATGGAGGGGGTAAAAAGAAGGTTTATTAGTAAGTACAAGAAGAAGCAACAGCTAGCCAGGTTACCCCACTGGCCATATTTCAGCATGTTTACTTTGACTTCATTCATAGAAATCAATTAAAAAAAAAGCCAAAACATAAAGCTTTTTCTACCTGGGTTCTGATAACACCGACCTTCAGTTAAAATTCACAGATCTGTTGTGAGTTTATTTTACAGAGAGCTAGAACATTATTAGCCTAAAAATTGCAATATAGGGTACACAGCCATGAAAAAGCATATTGCGTGCACAAGAATATGTATGTAAAGTAATAAGATCGGTATTTAGAATTACTTGTCCTTCATGTGTCCTACTATATTTATGTAATAATATCCCAATCCTAAAATGGTCATTAAAGCAGTTGGCATTTAATCCATCGATCTATATGAGGGTTTTCTTTTTATATAAGGATTTTATACGACTTTTTATTTTTGCTCAGTGGCTTTAAGAAAACATAAAATTACTTTTTTTTTTTTTTAACTCATGAGACTTATATGTATTCCTATCTTTAAACTGCAGTCATACACCCCTGTCCTACTAGTTTGGAACACATGTATTCAGACAAGGACAGCTAACAAAGAAGTTAACAAGTTTTCGCTTTCTACCAGTGACAGGGCAAACTGCTTTTTAATGCTTTAGCTAGGCAAGGTGAACCTGAGGCTCCTCATCAGAATTCATTTCAACTTCCTGACACATGAAAATAACCTCTGCCCCGGTTATTCTTCACTACCACAACCATGACTGCTTCACTGACTATAAGCCATAGCAATTTGTATGGGCATGGACCTGCCCTGAGGCAGGTTGAAAATCAGCTAATGTGTTATTTTGGACTTTGTTTTTAAATACATCTAATCTCAGTCAAAACACACCATATTAAAATCTTCTATGCCACATGTTCGCTATGATTTTTTGCCAGACATTTATGCTAGTAAAAGGTATAATGAGTAATGATCTTGGACTCATATAGCTACATACACGAGCAAAAGCCCACCGGTGTAACGGCTACTACACCAGCAAAATTAACTCTGCAAGCAGTTCTTCTTTTGCTGGCACTGAGAAAAGGCGGGTACTTCCCCAAAATAGGCTTAGCTTGGGTTGTCTAAGATACGAAGAGGCCCTGGACACCATACTGAGGCAGTCATGCATGAAAGCAGTCAAACCTGACCTAAGAAATCCCCTTCAGTTCTAATATATCTGTTCTCTCAGTTCATATAAAATCAAAATACATTTTAACACAAGTGATCTTGCCAATCAGGATCATAACAGTTATACACATTCCATAGCCCGATCTCACCCCCAAAATCAAGAAATTAATTAGAAGTGGTATGCATAATTTGGGGGATTCTTTCTATTTCTAAGCTTCTAAGGATGCACTTGCCAGAAACATGACAGATGTAAACTTTTTTTTAATGTGAAACCTGAGAATGTAATATAATCTGACTGTAGCAGCTAGACATGTATGAAAAACAAACATTACAAGATTTCCAGTGATCTCAAGTACTGGCAGCAATGCCATAAGAAAAGCTGTAATTGAGAAATGTTTAGATGAACAAAAATTCCAGAAATCTTTAGATGGACAAAAATTTATTCACATTCAAAATACATCTGCCAAAGATTATTTTCTTGAAGAGAACAAAGACCCTCAAAGGTGACACCTGTGTCAAACAACAGTGGCAAAATTTAAAAAAAAAAAAAAAAGCACTTAGCGAGCAAGTGTGTTATAACAGTAGTGTGACTTATTAGGAGGCTTTTCCCCTTTACAGATTTAATAGCTACTGAGGTCTAAATTAATTACTAGTATAGTCCTGAAAATTATATATTGACAAAGTAAGAAAAATCCTATTTCAACATTTTTATTGGAGTGGGAAAATAAGAAAAAACAAAAGGAAAAAGTTCTAGAAAAAAATAAGTCGGGAATAATTAAGTATTCTACTGCATCTTTCCCCCCCATCCCCAAACTACCTAAATTTTCTTCTATTCTTTATGCAATTTAAAAGGGAGCAAAATTGATTAAGATGTCTAATGGCTTTCAAACAACCAGAAGCTATTAATTTTTTAATTGCCTGTTACATAAACAAATTTCCTATAAGAAACAGAACTTTAAAAAATCATGTAAATGCAACTGTAGCTTCAGAATATTCTATTACAAAATTAAGGGAACCCTTGGGGGAATTGTTTGGTGGCTTTAATATGATCCGTCTCACAGGAAATATGATACTACAGCTTTACAGAAGAACACTTACTTTTTAAATATTTATAAATTTACATTAATATCATCCATATATACCATGACGCATTTCAATAATTATTATACAATACAATGGGAGTGCATGCTCAAACAAAACACCTCAGCAGTATTTTAAAGCAGCAAACCACCTAGCCAATTTCTGTACGTTCTGTAGTTTTTCTAATCCACTCTCCCTGTGGTTGAGCAAAATCGAATTGCCTCTCACATTTGCAGACAGCTCTGTGAAGGTGATAATAGAGCTGCTCCCTGCTGTCATGAGGCAGGAAATAGGAAAATGGCATATGGGGCTAGAAAGAAATAAAAAGAGAACTAAACAAGAACAAAAGAGATTTCAACAAAGGACAACTATAAACCAATATGCTTTGCAAGTTAATCTCTTCTCATAATCATTTAACATACTTAATCATTTATCTGCACACTTCTCAAACACTCAAATGCTTGATACCAAGTCTTTTGTAAAGTTTTATTGCCCAAAACATTTTGAATAGAAATGATACTAAAAGCCATCATATGTAATGCCTATAAATCAATGCTTTCTTAGTACCCACATTAAGGAACTGAACCTATTCCAATCTGTTAGTAATTGATCTTTAACCATAAATTTTATGGTCAAAATGTACTATCTGGACCAACGTATACTTGGATTATTAGTTGCAGATATGTTGAGTGACACCTAAATAACAAAATATTAAGGGAGGATTACAACTGGTTATGTGCACTGACAATACCAAAGACTTCCAAGCCCATTTAAGGACTACTGATGTAAGATGCAGAATAAACTAACAATCATTTTTTCATTTACAATGAGAAATCTTTTTTATTTTTTAAGGCATAATGGGCTTCTAAAAAAAAAAAATCAAGAACTTATACATATTTACAGTGCTTCTATATTAATTCTTACTGAAGTACCTTAAAAAAAAATAAAGGAAGCCTACTATACCTTTCCTTTTACACTCTGAATGGGATCCACCACCACAGCAACAGCTCTTTCTGATAAGGCTTCAAAGCTCTGCTGAGTATTGATATCTACACCAGACAACCAACAGCCAAAGCCAGGGTGACTATGATACCAACCAACTACCATCTCAGGTCTGAAACAAAGAGGACATTGAGATTCTTAAAAATAAAAACATGTAATACAAGCAGAAATAGTAAGGTATCAGGGCATAAATTAGGAAGAGCTGTGAAAAAACACTATTAGAAATATTTAAATTACTCACCATAGTATGGTGAAAACATGGACATGAATAAATGTGACAAAAGAGGGCTATCATTAAGGGATGCACATTAGCAGTGGTAGATCATGCTTTCAGTTTTTCACCCTGTTACCACACCTTCCCTGAACCAGTTTTTACCCTTTCAGCACTTGAGTAAATATCTACTCTTTAACTCCTTGGCGTCGAGGGCTGAATTTTCACAGCAGAAAGTCCTTTTCAGATATGGACAACGGGAATCAACGGTGGGAAAGGATTAAATATCAATTAAACCAGCAGTAGAACTAGGAACTCAGTCAAAAAGCAATTTGCACTGTTCTGTTCAGCTGCTGAGCCTTTTGCTAACATTAATTTTGAAGTTTTTCCCACAGTAAAAGAATTTGAGCAAGGAGACGACAACTGTTGAGAGACAGGAGTGAAATAAAAATTTGTTTAAATACTAGGGTTTTTTTACAAAATTGTTTTCCCTTTTCATTAAAGTTTCTCATAAGCAAGCTACGACTTAAATTTTTTTATCTTAATTAAAAGAAAATTTTAAAAAAAAATCAATCTTTTAAGCAGGTACTGTCTAGTAACTCCCTGTACTAAATTGAGCAGCATTCTAATCTTTCTGTGCAATAATCAAAGCTGTAGGTTTAACATGAGTGACAATCTCCTGACAATTGAAGTGCGTGAGGTGGACTGAACTACATGCTATGCTACTCACCTGATTTCTGGGCCAGTTATTTCTTTTTAAACATTACTAATAACCCCTAGATCACTACTTTTGTGGAAAACCAGCTGTTTCTTCTAAACAACATGCAGGGAGTACTTGTTAGTCCTCTTTACGGTGACTTACCTTCCCGTCTGTTTCAACATATCCAGCATTTTTGCTTGAAATACAGGATCAACTGCCTCCACACTGACACCCTGATGTAGAAGGCAGACAAAAATCAGTTGTACATAAAACAAATTTCTTTTAACTTGTTACTTTCCACAAACAAAAAACCTGTCATAAACATCTGTTTAAAACAGCAACCCAACTACTTTAGAACTAGTTGACAGAACACCCTTAAATGTAAAATAAAATTCTGATAAATTTATGTCAATGTGATTTTTAAAACACTGAAAGAAGATTTCAAATTGCTATTTAAATTATCTCTAATATGAGTAAACATGATTAAATAGGCATAGGAATACATCTTTTCCTCCTCTTTTTGTTCTGTAAACTCTGTCCTGTTGTTTCTCACAAATTCAGCTCTACAGGTTTTATTAAAGATAAATACACAATGGCTTTCTGCAGATTTTACTTATACTATGCACATGCATAAGATAAACTCAAGACAAAAGAATTAAAAAATGTAATTGGTATGCAGCTCTGAGTTACAAAGGGATCTGTGCTTCTTTTAAGAACAGTATTTCATTCAAGTTACAAAAAAAAAAAAAAGCATCATAAATTCCACTTATACCCATCAGCTCATCATCTCTTTAAAATATATCTTTGAAACATGAATATTCTCACTCAAAATTAAAATACATTAATTTTTTTCACATCACAAAAATATCATTTAAGAGACATGCCACTAAGATCTGTCAAAGACAATAAGTTTGAAGTATATCTATAGCACCATCACAGTTAAGGGTATAATACACTTCTAATACAAACTTTTACATTTTGGATCCTTCCCCTGGTCATAGTATATGAGTTCTTAAAGTTATAAATTGATAAATATTGTAAGTGATGTTATACCAATATATTTATACATAAAGGCATAACACCTCCATATATTGATATACATGCTTACGTACTGGTCTTTGCTAAAAAAAAACCAAACCCAAATCTGGTTTAAGTATTTATTTTTTTTTTACCAAAACAGTTATATCCATTAGACATGTTTGAATTATACCTAGTAGGTTATACATTAATATTGCATAAATGAGGTGAAGCAGGATAAGCTTTTAAAAAATATTTACTATAAGGAAAAAACAAACAAGTAAACAAAATTACCAAGATCTAGCTGGAAAGAACTCACCGTTCCTGACTGTGGCATTGCAAAAACATCAATCACTCTCACAGTGTAATCATCAACAAATTCCCCGAGCATCAGACCCATAACTTCCATAGGGACACCAGCACGACCATGTTTCAACATCTGGAATTAAGACCAAATGACACTGTATGTTTAACAGGAGGTTCAAGTTTGACTTGGGATAGTTCTTGAATTCAGCCCTTGTTGATCTATAGATAATTTACAACTTGTAGCACTTTTGGAAAATGAGAAGAAGTATAAAATAGTAAAAATTAAACCAAGAATAGAGAAGTAATTAAAATAAGTTTCTTACTCTGGGTGTTCCAAACAGCACTGATTTATTTTAAAGATTATTCTGACCATCACCTAAGGAGCACAAGTCCATAAACTTTGGATGGGTGCCAGGTACTCTATCTCCAACACTATACACAGATTCAGTACACACAGAACACTTACTTTCAGCAATGCAAGTGAAGAGATATAAACCTGTTCCGCCGTATCGACTGCAGGAGCATCTGTTGGTGGCCCCTATGAAAAGAATAAATAATTATTTTCTCTACCATTGTTATTCTGCAGTTTCTAAACATATTTTTATTGTCCATATTACAAAACTTACAGAAAAATGCATATATAACTGCGACTTTGTGTGTTAGATGCAGTTCTTGAAAACAAAACCAAAAAAAGGCACACCTAAACCCCAAACAGTTCTTTATGGCTCCTTCCTTCACTAACCTATTTTGTAATACAAGTCACCTAGTCATCATCCCCTGCCTCCCCTCACCCCAGGATGTATCAATCTGAAGAAATCTTATCAGAATCAGTCAAATAAAAAACTGGCAAGTAGTGCACTAGGTACAAACCTGTTACAAGACATACAGGCTAAGAGTCATATAAGCTTCCATTAGTCAGCCTTGCTGCAATGCTAACCTCCGTCAGCTGTAAAATAGGGCCAGTTCTCCAATTAACTATGTGTTTCTTACAGTGGTGTGAATGTAAATGCTGCTGGGCTAGCATGATTAACTGGCACCAACACAAACAGCAATTTCCCTTTGCTTCATCAGCTTCCAGCTAAAGCGGACTTGCAGATAAAGGCTATGGGAGTACTTTGCAGATACACTGGTACAGCGAGAGAAAAAACGGACCTCCGATCCCTAGGTGGAAAAGCTGTGAACAAAATACTTTGCTCTTTGCCTTATGAGTAGTTATTCAAAAATTAGCACAACTGTCCCAGGTGTGAATGATTGGTTGAAACAGGTTCTGTGTACTGTTGAAAATGAAAAACACAGGAGGCAGCAGTTTAAATGTTCCTTTTTCGAGGAGCAAGAGACATATTGCTCATATTCTGTATCAACATACCTCATTACAGCCAATTAACAGCACATTCATTACTTTATTACCAAATTGTGTACAACAAATTTTCACAGAAAAGACAAAAGGTTACTTCTGCACTAAGTGATGTAAACTTAGAAGGGCAACAAAGCAACTATGGAGTACGGTTAAAAAAGATTCTCTATGTTAAGGAGGAAAAAAAGTGTCTTACACAAACATTTTGCAGATTTAGAACTTTGATTCCACAGTTATAAACAAAATTGGGGGAAAAAATTGAGTAAATTCTTGATTTTCCACTTAAAGTGGAAAAATTCAGTACAACATGCTCCCACGTGACATCAAACAAAGACATGGTGATCAAAACAAGCCATCACCTCCTGAAGATAAAATCAGGAACTTAGGTAATCAGCATATTAAATTTGTATAGTAATTCAACTTTCTGCATACTATCACTTTTACACACACAGAAAAACATCTAGTCTTCAAAATGCTTTAGACAGTAAGAAAATTCAGTTGCCGTTTTTTTCCCCCCAGTGCCAATAAATTCCTTCTTTATTAGCTCCAGATCCAATCTTATATTTTGAGTACAAAATTTGCATTTTGAAACTCACATACATGCATTGATCTCTGTCAACCACAAGTCCTTCCTAACACCTTCAAACCTTTATTTCCAACTTTGATGCTGCTGACCATCACCCCTTGATATTTGCTCTCCCTCACTTCTTAGTACTCATTGATAATTCTTCTGTCACTTTGGCCTTTCCATCAGCAATCTTCCAGCAGGTTTAACTTTTCACCTTCTATAATATTCTCACCAAAGGCCCATTTTTAATCAATTCCACCTCTTCATCAAGTATTTCTCTGACTAGCCATAGACCAACAGTGAGATGCTCCGGTGGAAAAGGGTTCCTTTAACACTTATGATGAAAAACTTTACAAGCAGTTCTTCAGTACATTTCACAGAATTAGATGCACAGGACACCCAAATCACTTATTCCCAATTTACAACTAAATTGCTTGACCAACGAACATTCAAATGCCCAATCATTTACTGATACCATTACTATGTTGTTTTTCTCCATAAACATGTAAATTTACTTTATTAACTTATCTCTCTCCTGTTTTAAGTCTATTCTAAATTATATTATTTTCTCTTAGAAGTCCTAATACTTTGGAAAGCACAAAGACTTATATTTCCATCTAATCACCACTAAGAATAAAGCACAGAGGAGCTGGGTTCTAATTAAAAAAAATACTGGTTTGATAACAACGCCTTTCTTCATACATAAAGCTCTCTTCCAATTTTCTACCAGTTCTAGACCAGAGAGGGTGTTAAGTGAGGGTAGAAGTAGAAACACGGTTACCTTCTGCTTCAGGAATAACCATAACATCCATGCTGTGATCACCATACATATTCTACATTTGTCCCAGAATTTGTTTAATATTTCCCCATAAGCAAGCATCCCAGTACACCATCCAGTATTTTAAAAAAAATAAAGAACAGCATAAAAAAAAATCTCCCCTGAACTGGCATAAGTAGTTCTGTGGTTTCTGGAAGGGCAATGTTGATGTTTGATTGAGACTAGCTTCTCAAAACTCAGGAGCTTATTCCACAGACTACGGCTCTTGAACAGGCCAGCCTATATTGAATCTCTAATGTCTGTTAAGATGGCAGATCACACTGACACCCTTCCTGCAGCCGAGGCATTAACCATGTCTCTGTCCCCTATGTAGACACCTGTGTTCACAACTTCTAAGAGTTTAATTATTCTACATAACTTTTCCCATTTTAAAATCAGTCAGTAGATTCAACACTTACAGTGAGGAGACAAACATTATCACATTTTGCTTCTGTAACAAGGCAACTAAATTACCTTTAGTTTAAGCAAAGGCAGGAACTAAAGCTGGGTGCTCCCCTATTGTACTCATTCCTAATCTTCCCTTCTTTTATTATTTCTATACTCCTTGGAGCTTTCAAATGCATTTACCTTGGTGATGGTCCAGAAGAGAGGATTTTTAATATTATACTTTATCAATTCTTTAGGCATTCTACAAAAGTTTTGAAAACAGAAACTGCTTTATGCTGAAGTTCTGCCAGCTGCCATTACTGACAGCCAACAATTCACTTTCAGCACAGGAAACGTTGATAATTCATAAAGGTGAATCACCTTGCTTAGCATATTTTTTCTTTTTTGAAGCCATAGCATTAGTTGTGAATGATTTTGCACACTAAATGTGAGTTTAAATATATAAATGATTACACTAAGGAGATATTAACTGCAAACTTCACTGTTTCACTTTACACACGTGCCTGTGATAGTAAAAATATTAAAGGTTAGATTCCACTCTTGTCATGCAGTTGAAGCAATTTATCTGACCTCTTAAAAATTAGTTAATGGTAGGATACAATGCACATATAATGTAGGTTTATTAATAGTCTTCTTATAAAATACAGCACATACTTTTTACATCCTTGGTCACAGATGCTTCTTTTATGAAGACTGTGATCTCCTTTTAGTCTGCTCTGTTCTCCTTATAATTATTAGCTAAATTATCAGAAAAGGAAACAACTCATTGCACTATACCAATTATGTGTATTAATTTTCATATTAATATTCCTTCATTTGTTTTGAATAGAGATTAGAATGAACTGCTCAAAAGAATTCTGAAATTATTCTGATGCACCAATTCAGGAATTTTGAGGAAGAAAGGATCCATAGGTCAAAACCTGTCCAGAATTCACTTTTGCAGCAGATTTAGTTTCACATTATTTTTCTACCAAAAATAAACTGGCATGTAAAATACTACAGGCACACACTTGTCTTTCCACATAAAATTATAAACCCATGGTTCATCAAAATCATAACTTGAACTTTTAATGATTTAACACATCAGAATAGATCTTGTGTCTTCCAAGTAGTATACTTGGATTTAGACAATGCCATTTCAAAAACCAGACATTTGGTAACTAGAACCAATTTACTTCCATCTCTGACCACTTCCTTTTCTGTAAATGGCTGACAAACTAACACAGCCTTGGACTGACAGCCCCAGCTTCTGTATGCTAGTTACACAGTATGGGGGAGCTAGCTATGGGTTACATCTTTTGAGACTTCTTTGGCCTGTTTCTGCTAACCTTCTACAGAAGTTTATGCATTTCTTTCATGAAGCAAAGAGGAAGACTTTATTAGCTAATCTCTACATGAAGGCAAAGTATTTTACACTGACCCTCCACAGCATGTGCTATTATCACTGTTCATAAACTTCACTGCCTGCCAACTTTAACAAGGGAGCACCATCCTTATGAAGCAGAGTACCAAATTAAATTAACTAGTGTCAGAAACCCAAACAAGAAAGCATTTGTATCTGCAATGAAAAAGGTCTGCTTTATGGTTATTTTTGGTTTCATTATGGTATTCAAAGGCCAGCCAGTTCTCCCACTGCACTGAGTTTTGTAAGACTGTTCATCTCACTGCAAAACAGCAAATACTGCCTTCATTCTGCCTGCCCACAGCTTTACTAGATAGTTTCTTGGGGAATTGGAGAAAAACAGGATTTGGAAACTGCAAGGAATACCGAACACTCTTTCCCCAATTATTCATGTATAAACTGGATACAGTAATTATTAAACCTCAAAAACTGTTCTAAAAAAGTGTTATTGTGCTACTTACTGAAAATGGATGTTTCTTCTGAATCAACTAACTATACATGCTGTCAGTCAGTGCTGTTTGATGGCCAGCAATCTCATAAAATCCAACCAACTTCTGGTTTTGTTTTTCTTTAGAATGGCAGAATCCCAATTTCAATAATAATTGATAAAATTAAGTTACCACTACTAAAATACATACTTTTGTTCATATTTTTCAGTAATACTTAATGGAGTCATGTTCAAATTATGAACAGAAGATTACATTGTAATATTAAATTATGCATGATACTATTTTTGTTTCAAACAGTTAAAGAGATGATCCAATATAAAAAGCAGCCCTTTACTTGGGCAGCTCTTGTTGATGAAGTGTTAAAGGCATTTGCCATTCTAACAGAATAAAAACTAACGCCTTGAAGTGTTATCCACTCAGGCCTTTTAGCAAATTTGTTAACACTTTTAGGTATATTACTCCACCTTTCTCTTAGTGTGAACTGGTATCAATTATTTAGCCAATTTTATTATGTTATTAAAATACCTGCTGATTAAATGT